CCTGGTTTGACATCTGGAAGTCTGATGTAACAGCTGCAGAAAGTTTGATCTTTCCAGAATTAAAATGTTCTCAAAGGAGCTATCCAAGAAATCTGTTGATAAAAGGCTCTGTACATACCTCACCCAGCATACCAATTAAAAAAAATTTTAATGCACTGTTCTAAGAAATGTACATGACTATAAGCAATTCAAAACAATTTTTAAGAATTAGAAAATTTAGTAAGACTATTACAATATGGCATGAGATGTCAAAACATTACTGGCTAATGAGTATTTGTAGGACCTAGAAAATATGCTGCCTTGTTACCAGTAATCAGACCCAAGATATATTTTGTTTATTTAATCATGTTATATACTTGTCTAAGTCATGAGCACAATGAAGTAATAAGCAAGATGGACAAAAGTTCAAACCCTGTGAAGCTTTCATTTTACTGCAGCAAACGAATAACAATAAAAAAAATACAATTTCAAATATCAATAAATCCATGAAGAAAATAAAGTAATCTAATGGAATTGAGGACAAGAAGACTTCTCTGAGGAGTAAATCTTTGAGTGAAGACTTGACCGATGAACCATGTGAAGTTTTGGGGCAGTGTTCTAGTTTCAGTATATAACACGTTAGTCCAGACATAGAAAAGGCTTCATCTGTTTGAGGAACAACAAGCATCCAGCTATGGCTGAAGCAAAGAGAACAAGGACAAATACAGTAAAAGACAAGATCAGACATATGCAAGGCAGGGGCCAGATCATGGCAGGCTATGGTTAAAGAAGAGTCTGGATTTTATTCAGGGGTAATGAGAATACATTAAAGAGTTTCCTAATCACGGGGCTTATGCTTTAGAAATACCACCCCCGTTACAGTGAGAACTGAGTCAAGTATAAGTGGAGGCCCGGAGACCTTCTATGAGGCTATTGCTGTCATGAAAGAAAAATGATGAAGGAATGTACTAGGCCTGAAGCAATGAAGCTGGTAAGAAATGGTTGGACTGGAGATCTGAAAGTATGGTAGACCAAAATTACTGAGAGGTTAGATGAAAAGTGTAAGAAAAAGAAAGGAACCCTACATTTTGGCTTGAACAAAACATAGTAACCAAACCTATACAGGCAAGGTCCAGATAATTTAAATCCTCATTGATCATGTTGAAGGCTTTGGTTTTATCTGAAAAAGCAGTAGGAAGCACTGGAGCAGAAAAAAAGAGCTGTAGGATTCCAGATATATTTTGTTGATTTAACACTCCAGGTTCAGCAAGAACATATCAGACCCCTCAACTCTGCCTCTAACCTGAGCCACAGGCTGATTTCTTTCAGAAAAGACTAGGAGCTATCAGGCACAGAATAGGATTTCCTCAGAAGTGCAATGAGTCCAGATTAAAGCTTATCCCTGAGACACCTTGGTGCAAATATATCCTTCCTCCCTACTTCCCTCAGCCTACATCTACTAGGAAACTGCTGGGATCAATTATTTTGGCAATCTTGTGACCATCTAAACTCACCCACTTTACATCCCTGTCATCCCTGGTCCTACTTTGGTCACCTATCCTTTCACAAACTCTCAGACTCAATCTGTTATCATGCCTTCTCTTAACCCAACTTCCCACTGTACTCCCAGAGAACTCCCTTTACATGATTAACAAACACCCCTACACATCCTTACCCCTTAGGCGAGGATACCCTTTATCAATGACCTTTAACTTGTGTGGCTCTCCCAAAACAATACCATAAGCATTTCAGCCCCTAAAAGAGAAGTTCCTCATTCTCCAAATTCTCACATACTTCAGTATGAAATGGAGAGATATAACATGTTTGTGGATGCTAAGGCTGAATACAGTAAAGACAATGTCAGTGGAATTGATAAAATGACTCAAATTCACAAGGAAGAAAACCACCTATCTAAATGGTAAACACTAGAAGATTAGCTAAAACAAACAAACTAACTAACTTAACCTGAACTAAAATCTATCCATAGAAGGATATTATAAAGTTAATATAAATTTATGTTGCAGAATACTTAATGTCTTCTGAGAATATTCACGTAACTATTTTTTTTTAAGATTATTAAGCAATATGTAACATATAAGGCTGATATGATTAAAGAGAAAGAAGAGTGTGGGATGTGTGTGCTCAGAAAATTATAAATAAACTCTAGCGAAATATTCTCTAGGTGGTAGAATTACAAATGATTTTTTTCTTTTTTTTTACTTTTCCTATTTTCCTTAATTTCCACAATGAAAGTATTTTTTTATAACTAGAGAGAAAAGGCCAAAATAAACAAAATTTTAAGATCCATAACTGTAACATACCAAAACTGCTCTTCATTAAAATTTACATAGACGGTTTTAGAATTTTCATATCCTTGCTCCCTAAAACAAACAAACCACCTCCAAGTCCTTCAGTTGAATGCCTAGAATTTCAGAGTTATTAACAAAAAACAAAAACAAAAAAACTCAAGATTTCTTTTAAGCATATATCAGTCACTTAACACTATTCAGTGACGAGTTTAATGAGTCTCTCCAATTAATTATTCTCTTCAAAATACCTAAGTAGACTATTCAAAGCAAATGGCTATATGCTGGGGTCCCTTAATTGTAAAATTAAGGGTATGTTGTTGTTTTATACAGCTTTGTAATGCATTCTTTATGTAGAAGAGGATATTACTCGTTTACATATTTTAAATATTCTGTAAAAATATTTTCACCTTGCCAATCTTCTTTAAGAAATATACGCATATACCTTTATACATTTTTGGCTAATGCACAAAAGTAGCAACATAAAAGATACTATAAAGTCATCTTTAGCAACTAAATTTCCAAAAAGAAAACAAATTAAGAACAAAAACGTCACCCTCAAGGCATGTAATGGTACTACAATTGCATGTGCCACAAAAATAAAAAATGCCACATCACCCAAAATAATCTCTAATAACTCTAAACTAAGGCATTCCTTTCAAAAGATTCCCTTTCTATCAATGCTTAATCTTTTAAATTTAGCTTTGGAAATAACATTTCCACTATAATTCCAAAGAACTGCTTAGAAGAGAACCTGCCTGGGCAGAAACCATTTTAGGATACATTTTACTTAAAGGTTGTCCACCCTATTATATAAAATGAATATGTAAATATCACTAGCTTATATTTTCTACAAACTTAACTACTATTATTAGAATGTTTTTCCTTTAAATCATAACTGAAAAGTTATATGTCATTTCTAAAAAAGTAAATATTCTTGAAAAGAACAATTAACGAACAGTATTATGACCAAAAAGAATGAATAATCTTCCTTATCTAAGCAAGGTACAGTGCTAGATGCTTTTCAAACTAAGTTTCATAGATATGGTATCTGTTTTTCAAGCATCTTCAGTTTCCATGAATTATGCCACAGTTCTTACCCAAACTAGCAACAGCCAATAAAATCTCCCCTGAAATTCATTTCAAATTAGGAGATAGCTTCTTGTTATTAATTAACTATGTTTAAACTTTGTCTTTTAGAAAAAATGTAAGTGGATCCAAAAAGCAGTGTTGCATTAAATGAACCTAACAAATGGACAAGGCAAGCACTGAGGGAAAAGAGGTAAAGGTCAGAGGGAGGACACTTACATATAGAGACAGTCTTGGACAGCATTTATAATCTACTTCTATTACTATGAACCATATTTCTCCTTTGGTCAGAGACCACTCCAAGGCTGCTATTGTTGCCTAGGACTCTGTTAAAAGAAGACACTGAAAGGCTACAGAGCCCAAGCAGGCCTGAGACTATATATTTTAATTTCATTATTTAAAATTTTATAATTACATTTAAATTTCTTCTCTACACTGGTTTAAAATAGTTTTATTTCTCTAGAATATGTTATCTTGATTCAGCAGTCCAATCACCTAACCTTTTGAGAAAAATCATATTACTCTAATTTAGCAGAGATTAATTTTAACATGGTTAGAAGTTGTCTTTCTATGTAATTAAGCAGAATTCCACATATTTTCAAAGCTTTCTATATATAAACATTATCCATTCATCCATTCTTGATCTTAGAAAATCTTTGTTAAAAATCTTTGTTAAAAATGCACAGAATGGACACTAAAAAATGAACGAAAGATTTATTTTCTTCAAACATGGGCAAATTTAAAGGAAGTTAAAAGTCATTCACTTTCACACAACTGTTTAAAACAATACTGTTAGCACTGCAGTGACAAAAAGGCTCCAAATTACAAAGGTCAGTTAAGTAAAAGGAGGCAAAAACAGCAGAACTCAGATGCTAAGAATAAAAACAAAAATAGATCCAATGCAGCATTTTGAGAATAAAGATCAATGAAAACAGTTGCTCAATACCATATCACTTATAGCATTATTTTCTATATTGTTATGAGAGATCTTTTCTATTCTAGCATTTCCTCTTTGCTGGTTCTTGACATTTGTCTTAATAAAACTGACACTGAAGCCAAAATTTTTCATTACCTGAAGTAAAAAGGTAATACATTGCCTCAGTTAAAAAGTACTTAGCTATCATGCTGAAGTGCAAAGATACAATAAAAATATAAACAGGGTGGTAAGGAAGGAACAGCATCATATTTTATTTAACTATTGATCTAAGTAATAAGGCAGCAGGTTGTCTTTCCAATCAAAAGTACTTTTATAAAGTAATACAAATGCCCTTGCTTGCCCCATATTGAAGGCCTTCAAAAGAATCAACAGAGAGGATGAGGTACAAGAAAATTATGATCTAAACCATAAAAAATGACTAAAACATGAGCGAATAATATATGTTATCATTTAATGCTATGATTCTCAGAAATTCTCAGTAGAATAAACAATCTTATTGCTTATGCTTATGAGAGCATAGAAATTAATGAGACAGTTAATATATCAAATCAATAATGAAGTAAGATAATGGCATATATATTTGTTGAGTTTAATCAGTAGAAACAAATGAAATTCAGTGCATAAAGATTTTCTAAGATCAAGCCAGTAGTTCCACAGATAAAATAATTTGGTAGCTCTGCTTTTCTTACCTGTAAGAACAGCTTTTGCTGAAGGATCTGCCAGGTCCAGGGCTGATTTCCCATCAGTGTTCCGAATGTTTGGATCGGCTCCGTGCTGCAGCAGCACTGTGCAAGGAAAGCAGAAACAGTATCTTACCTCTGGGATACAAAGATTATTTACTGGTAAGTGTCGTCTCGGCATGGTGTAGGCATAAACATACATTGCATAATTTTTTCTCTTTCAAGAAAAAAAAAAGAGTAAAGAAAAAGAAAAAAGGGGGGAAAAGCACTGCAGCAAAGGATCCTCTCTAGAGTAAAGCAAAGTTGGCAACTTATGGTACAGTATTATCACATGACTTAACAACATAAACATGAAACCAGAAAAATCTTGCAATAGACAGTTTGGGTTTGCCTCCTTCAGGCAGCAGGATGGGAAGCTGTATGCTCACTGCCTCACAGTGTGCAATACGCTGTGAACCTGCCCTATCTTTACTACCACTGTGGCTGCTTGTTGCTGCTGCTGCTGCTTTACTGCTGAATTTCCTAAAGCTTTCTCTCCTCAGAAGAGTTGTAATACTGTGCAAGCCTTTTAGTGGCTCACCGCTTACATATGAATCTCACCCTAACATACTGGCTTGTTTCCAAGAAGTTTCACAGACATAGTAATGCATGCAATTCTGGTCCCCTGCAGTGGAGCTGCAAAAAAAAGAACTGCCTTCTACAATAATTCTTTCCATCAAAAATGTTTAGAAACAAAAATCCATCACAATAATATATGCTAAGGAACAAATGTTGAACACGTTATATTGGGTAAAAAGTAGCTTATAGAGAATTCTTAGATATGGGGGCTCCCAAAAGACATAATCGCTGTTTAAGCAAAATCCAGATATAATAATTTAATCTAAAACATTTCTCCACTACATCTGATATGTGTGTGTTTGGGGGGAGGGGGAACGATGGACGTTGCTATACCATTACCCAATCAATGATTAAACTAATAAATATACACTAAAAACTCGCCCAAATAAGCACAGTACAATTACAAGTTATTCTAACATTTCAAATAGTTAAGATTTTGTGTATTCCTGGAGAGAATAGGAGTTTTTACCACTTACCACTATACTACAGCATTAATTTAAAACAAAGCAAAAATATTAAATTCAAGTATTTAAAGATGTTATGTAATATCTAAAAACACCTGAGCCACTACTGCTAACGAATCCCAAATTTTCATTCATTAATAGTTCCATGACAAAGTATATACATTCTCTGATATATTTGGAAGGCAATCCTCATATATATTATTAAGTAATAAGTTACGCTATTTATACAGCACTTTCTCTTTCTTTAATGCATAAGCTATCTAGTCAAAGCCTTTGTTATAACATACAAAGGAAGAACCTTATCTAGAATTAGGACATAACTGCTGGGACAGTGTTTATCAACATCTCTTGCATTAAATCTTAGGTAGTTTCAGATTTGGGATAATAAAGACTAGCCATGCCTTGAAATTATACAGTGAGATTTTGTCAAAGCTTTCCATATTATTCTATTATTGAATGTAACCAATGAACATAATTATTTACCAGACATTTATAAACTGACTCAAGAGTAAGTAGAATAAAATAGGAAGTACCACAACATCAAACTGTAGTTAACTCTTTCATCATAATGAATAGGCTTTCACAGCAACATATTTTTTTATTCCAGGAAGAAATCCCAGTGTGGAGATCTGGTTTTTAAAGGGTCCTTATCATGAAGCAGACTCATGTATCAAATATAAAGCTGAAAGCTATCACTATATCTTTATTTAGTTGCTGAGTGATTCCATGCAAAGGGTAGGAAAACAAAGAAATAACAGCTACCATGAAAAGCGGAGTTTTTACTGCATACATCAGAACTTCAGAACCTGTTTTAACAAGAAGTAAAGCAGTATGTTAATTTAACAAGGCTTGACAATAATATGATGGGAACTTTTATTCTGCAGCTTAATGAATGGTAGAAGCAAAACAATGAAAGACTTATTGTTCCTCCAAAAGTCACCTAAAACCATAATCTTTTCTGTTGTAACGACCAGTATTTTACCTATTACCTTTACTATTTTGCAATAGAAATCTGCCACTGCAGTTTAGCTGCAGTTTTCCTTTATTTTAGGTGATTTTTAAAGGAGCAATCTTTTTAGTAGAAATAATCTGTTTTCTAAACATTTCTGAGTCATACCTATCTCTTTCATCTGACCTGAACACACAGAAACATCTACTGCAGAGTAATGTAGCAACAGGGAAGAGGAAGCTGAATTTTCTGAACCAGATGTTGACAACAAAATCCACATTAGAAAAAGATTTAACCATTAATTCACCAGACATGAGTTTTAAAAAATCCTCAACAGAGTTAAGAGTTTTAGGAACAAGAAAAGTAACTAAAACTAGATCGGAGGGATCTAAACTTATCTAACTTTTATAAAGGGATTGCTGAAAGGATTAAATGAGAACAAAAGTGGCATAATACATATCAGTTAATGGTAATATTTAAAGCACATTTTTAAAAATGTAGACCCAGTTTGCACTTTCGACACTACCACTATTTATTTTCCTACAGCCAGATCTTCAGATCTTTACTTTTACTGTAAAGGGCCAGACAGTAAATATTTTAGGCTTTGTAGACCATATGGTCTCATTCTCAATTATTCATCCTGCCTCAATCCCCCAATTACTGGGAGAAAAGAAGCCACAGATAATACTTAAAAAAAAAATGTGTGTGGTTGTGTTCCAATACAACTTTATTTAAGGACACTGAAATACAAACTTCATATAACTTTTACATGTCACAAAATATTATTATTGTGAAATTTTAAAAATCATTTTAAAATATAAAAACAATTTTTAGCTTGCAGGACATTATAAAAAACAATTCGGCAATGAGCTGAATTCGGCCCATGGATCACAACCCAACCATGGGCAGTGATATATAATGTGTTGTCTATGGAATATTCTAGTCCCAGAACTCTTTGTAATCCATCTACATTGAGATAAGCACAGAAATTAAGAGGACGCATTTAAAACTGTGTATGTCATTTTAAAATTACTTTTTCTAATACTTCATTTTAATTATAGTTTACAAAATTATTGGCCTGTCGTACATTGGGTAGGAAAAAATCTGGTCTTCCACAACAGGCAGTTTGAGAAGCACTGAACCAGGGCTGTACGATTCTCTGAGTCTCAGTTCCCAGGTCTAAGAAGTGAAGGAAACAGACTAGATAGATGATTTCTAGATATCTAAGAGGAAGCCGCAAATCCCTGATACTACTTTGAGAGTTATGGCCAAAGACCTCAAGCATTAAGATCTAAACTCTTTAAAAAAAAAAAAAAAGGTATCTTAATACCAGAAGAACAGCACATACGTGAGGCAAAGGTAACAACAATGGCTTTCAAGAATGTTAATCTGTCTTTGAAGTGGTGGCATGGAGGACTTCCGATTCTAGATGCTTCAAAATTTGCTCTCAAAGTTCTCAGCTACCAAAGGGAATAATAAAATGTGACTACTAATACATAATACAATTAGGGATTCATCTTGGAAAATCAATATACACTGACAGCACACCAATATAAAACAGATTCTTTGAAAAGTAGCACAGATGTCTGAAGCAAAGTTCTCAAAATATAGAGACAATAAACAAAGTAAGGTTTAAAATAAAAACAAGGAAATTAAAATCTGAGTAACATTCAGTACATAAATTCAAGATTACTTTGGCCATTCAAAATCTCCTTGTACTATCTCCTTGTACCAATTAGGGCATTATCAAACCTCAAATCTCAAACAACTTGGCCATATCCAGTTGTCCTACTGAGATATCTCAAATTCATTTAACTTCTTTTGAGGTGAGAAAGATGAAGAAAATACAGCAGCTGGCATAACAACAGATTGTTAAAACTAAGGTAGGATCACAATATTCAAAATATCATTCTCAAACTTATAGCTAGGACATGTGATTCTCTTACTACCTGGTACAAATGTTCATCTACAGTAAGCCAGACTCAGAAAGCATGGCTTTAGCCTGTGACAAATGTAGTAACAGACTAAAGTTATTTTACTTAATGCCTCAAAACTATTAAATTTAAGCACTCACATCATTTTAATTCTTCCAAATAAAAATATTTCCACACATATGCAAGGCCTCATCCTGTCAAAATCCCAGAAAAATACAAAGTGCTATTACGATATGTTGCATTTAACTACAGGAATGTTATTAACTGATTTAAGAAGTTAGAATAGAAATGATGTGAATCTTCCAAACTAAAAATGTAGTAAAAATGTAGTAAGGCTTTTGGGTAAATTATCAAATGTGTTTCAGTATAGTTTCACTTTAAAATATTATAAATTCTTTGTTGTGTGAATTTTAGAGCTACATTAAGGGTCTAAAACTGCTCCTCGCAATAAAGTCAATTTTAAAATAAGTTCTATTTATGTTAAAATGTTTTCCAAGTATTATATTGTCATCTTACTCTTTAAAAGTATAGAGATATTCATTTGACTGAGTTTCAAAAGTCGAATCAGACAAAAGACCAAGTTCAATAAATATTTTAGCAAATAAAATAAATTCTGGAGCAAAATATCAAGGGTTCAAATTTTGACTAGTTATGATCTTCAATGTATAGGACTCTCATCAACACACGTGGTTTTAAGAGACAAATTATTCTTTTAAAGTGATATATATATATATATACATATATATGTGTGTATACACACATACATACACACACACACACACACACACACATGTATATATAATATACCTTGCAGTTAATACATATTCAGGCCTCCTCTTCTATAGAAATATGTATAATATCATAGTGGTATAATACTATCTAACAGTATAATATTATACCACTATAATACTGTACATATTTATATACTGTACATTTTTTTGAAAAGCCATTATCTTTTCATTGTCATTTATCTTTTCATTCAAGATATACTTTATTTACTACAGCATAAAAGTAACCTAACATTTTGTTCTAAAAAAATCATTAAAAGTTGATGTATCACTAACAGTAAAAATGAAAATTCAAGTAGCCAATGCTATCCTAAAGCAGTATGGCTTACGGAATTTAAATTAAGTTTTAAAT